GCCTACTCAATTAGTCAGAACAAAATTAGCTATAATAATTAAGTATTCGTCCCACCCACAAACAACGCACACAGGAAGATAAAGCGGAATTTTTATGGATTCAATCAGCGGGAGCAATGTTCGCAACTACAAGCGGAAGAAACAAAGGAAGAAAGGGGAAATAAAGCAACAACAATGTTCGCAACCGGCGCGACTACACTTGATCTGGCTCAACACCCTCAGTGTTAAACTGTGCCGCATCAGTGTTGGACTGCGCCACATCAGCTCGCTCAGCATCCCCGCTTGCACCCTCAGCCTGCGCCCCCTGCGCGCCCTCCTCCTCTTCATCGTCTTCCGGCTCCGAATCGGACTCCAAGGACCTCTTCTGGCCAATCCACATCCTAAAATGCTCGACCATCGCGCGAGTATCCCAGCGGACTCCAGGGTTTTCCGGTCGCACCTTCTTGCCGACCGCGATCACAGCCTTAGTCATGGCATCCGCCAAAATCTTCCCAAAAGACGGGGAAGATTTGTACTGGCGGACAGCCGCAACCTGGGCTGTGCGAACGGCCTCTGCCTTAGCAACGCCGTGAAGGTGGACCAGATCGTCCTTCTCCTTTTGGAAATCCTCGCGGACCTGCCTCAGCTTCTCCGCGTGATCCTCCTCCAGCTTCTTCTTTTCCTCCGCGAACTGGCCCTGCAACTGCTCCCTAATTGGTCGCCAGTTCCGCGCGACTCTCCGCGCCGGCGAGCTTGCCTTCCAGCTGAACGATCCTCGACTCCTCCGCCTTTAGTTTTGCGTGGTTGGAGGCACGCTCCTGCTGGGCCCGGAAAGTCGCCAACAAGCCCTGTATTCGCAGCGCTATAAGACTTAGTAGATTACCATACAAAACAGAGGAAGTGTTGCACGCAAAACCAAACTAATCTTACCGCCCAGTGGACTTGAGCTAGGTCCTGCAGCGGGTCTGATTTCTCCAGCCGCGAAGGGACGCTAAGTAAGGGTCCTACCGCCCATAGAGCTGCCTGAGCGGTATTGCTGTTGCACGCCGCGCCAGTGTGCAGCCGCACATCACGGTAGCAATTGATAGAGCTGGCCATCTCCGGCAGCTTCTTTTGAACAGTCGCCCCGGACGAACTGGCCGCCACCACCTTTTCTGGTCGAGGGTATTTACCCACCCCCGCTTCGGGTTCAACAATCACCAGAGGCTGTTGTCGTGCCTCTTGCAGGGGAGGCTCTTGCTCCTCGGGCTCGGACACGCGCGCCTCTTTCCTTGGCTTCTCAGCAGCCACCGGCCTCTCCACCTCCTTCCTCTTTGCGCCACTGAGTGGCGCGTAGCTGGGCTAGGCGCTCTCTTTCTTCTTCGCGCCGCTAGGTGACGCGTTGCTGGGCTGCACGTTCCCTTTCTTCTTCTTCTCCCCACGCGAAGCTCGAGGAGCCTTCACGACGTCGTCCACCGACATCATGCTCACCAAGTTTGAGAAGTCAACACCTGCGCTAATAAATCGTAAGAAGACGGTTAAATATGACAGAATGCAAAGGGAAAGAAACATAACTAACCATCGGCAAAGAGCTCCTCCAAACAAGCCTCGCGGACACCGCCCAAATATAAATTAATCTTTTGAAGCATGCACGCTTCATATTCCTCATCGAGCCCGTCGTATTTGCCCAGATCCGACTCATAACCGAGCGTGCTGCCCCTTTTCCAAACAGTGGGCTCCGCCACATGCTCACTCTCCCACTCCCCCGGCTTCGGCTTGACATAGAAGAAGCACTCAAACCAAGTCTTCTTCAACTTTGGAGATCCATACATGAAGCCGTCGGACCTCTTGTCGCGCTGCTTTATAGATAAGCAGTCGCTCCTCCTCGTGGGATCTTTGATTATGTAGATCTTGCGGAACAACCCATAAGTAGGCTGGATATTAAGCCTCTTACACACGAGGCGGAGGCAGGAGGCGTGCATTATTACCGATGGGGAAAGGCGCTCAACCGAGCAGCTGAGCCGCCTCGGACACGCGTGTCACACTGATCGGCTCTGACTGAGTTTCAGAACCCTCGCGCGCGTCAACATCTGTGAGCCCAGACCCACCGGCACGGTCGCGGCGGATTATCAAAACACTACGTGGTCTCGTGCTCGGCTGTCCACTACCGGACACTACACCATCCGCATCGGGGGAGCTGATCGTGAAATCAGGGTCCGAACCGATGGCGCCCGATGGCGCCCGATGGCGTCGCCGGAACCCCCTCGTCACCAGCTTCGCCGTCGTCTCTGTTTCCGGAATTGGCTAGATCCAGCGAGGGATCGGTAGAAACACGCGAAAGAGGGGAGAGATTACCTTCTTCGTCTTGCACGACCTCGATCTCGTCAATGTTGGTGCTGTCCATGATGGTACTTCGAGTGTGGGCAACAACGACGGGAGAAACAAGGTTGTAGAAGAAGGAGAGGAATCTCAGAGATGAACTGGAAGAAGAAAGAGGAGGCAGAACTTGGAGGAAGCAGAATGAATCCCACCCCCAACAACAAGCCAGTATTTATAGTTGATGGAAGTAAGTCGAAAGGTTAAAGTTGCATTGAGAATCGCAACCGTCAGAGATTTTCGAATTTCAAAAACCCCCGCCCAGATAGACAAATCATGGGGAGACACGTGGACACCTACCAGATGTAGCTATTAGCCGCTGACGTAACAAGTTCCACGCACCGGCTGGGGGGGCATGACACACCCACGAAGAAGAAAAAATACTCACAGAATTCAAACGTAAGCATGCGCGAGTCGAAGGAGCACCCCCAAAAATCAAAATCAATCCCGAGAGTCACGCGCAACCATCTAGCAAACTTAATCCCGAGCAACGCAAGCAACCTGCCAGGAAAATCTCACGGAAATCGCGCATGCGTGAATCGAAAAAGTGCACCCAGAACTCCGAACGTCACGCGCAACGAGTTAGAAAAATCTCGCGGAGTTCACGCAACCCAGGCCAGAGCGCGAGTAAACTCAATTCCGAACGTTGCACGCAACCCGCCATGTGAATCCCGTGGAGAACGCGCAGACCCGAGTCAACTTCCAGAAAGTCAAACAGGCGGCATTCGCGGATTACCTCCTGGTGGGGGGGCAATTGTTGGGCATATGACTCGGGTCTAACCGCGCGAAGGAGTCAAATGCCCACGCGATGTGAGATCCCAAGCGCGCCCAAGCTATCGCGCGCGAACAAGGACACCAAACGACGACGCCTAAAAGCCAAGGGTTAACCAGACCAGGAAGCCATGGGAAAAGTGACCTCTGCGATTCCCGAGGAACGACCACATCACGATCCTAGATAAACCCCCTTTGTCCTAGGTAGAAATCTACATACCCTGACATGTCAGTGGTCATGTCACCTTACCACCATGTAACCCACCCACCACCATGTAGCCTATAAATACGGCATTTACTACGGTGGGTGAAGGAGATCGCATTTTGGAAACTCTATCTCTACAACTATCGACTTCTCTCTCTAAGATATCATCCTCTCAACCTCATTCTCCTTTGCCTTATTCGTCAACCCTGAACTGATTTTCATTGCTTACTCTCCTCGACCCCCCCCCCCATTATTCCCTTAACCTCACTCCTACGCTCAGTTAAGCTCAAACAATTATAATTCAAAATTTTCATTAAATACAAATCCAATATGTACAAAGAAATTTTAAACTCTTTACCACTATGTGGACTAATAATTCAACTACAAATATAGAAATGTATTACAATTGGGACTAATTAACAATTCTTCTAATAATGTACGCAATATTATATATCAGTTGCAACCAGTGGCTCACCGCCTCACCTTACAACAACTCATCATCTTCTTGCTAACTCCCCGATTTTGGAATCCGATAGTCAATCAAATAATCTGATAATAAAATACGACATACAAACAAAATGACATATTCTTATATTTATAAAATATGACATATAAAAGTTTATAGTTGCATAATCATTGAAATAAAATAGGTCAAATTTGTCATTAAAAAATTAGTAAGGGTAGAAGGGTAAATTTCCATCATGAATTTTAACCCATCACCCAAATCTCAAGAATCAAGAGATGGAACTTCCAAGTCCGTGGGGTCCGCAGATTTGGTCTCCCAAAATCCGTGGGGGCCATAGATTCTATCTTACTAATTCACTACGGCAAATGATGGATTTCCGTTCAAGTCCATGATAGATAAATTTTCATGACCAAATACATTATCAAAACCCTCAAACAAACGTCCCGTAGAAAAAAAGTGCTTTCCTAAAAGTTAGAAAGTCAAATCCGCGAACACTAGATGTGAGATCAATTGATTCTAGAATTTCAATATGAAATAATAAATCAAAGGTGGGGAAGTAAATGTGTTGACTGCTTTCATGGCAAATAGAGGTGGTAAATGGATTGGTGATTGATGAATTTATGGATAAATCGATTAGATCAAATAGATTGGTGGATTCACGAATCAGACCATATGGATTGGTGGATTGATTCATGAATCCAAATGACATTCAAGTGTTGGACCAAAATGTAAATTTGAAAAAAATTTAGTCACAAAATTAAGGTATCAGAATGTAATTTTTTATAGATATTTTCCGTATAAAAATAAATTGTGAGCACCAAAATATAAAATATGATAAGTATAGGTACTAAATTGTAATTTATCATTTAAATACATGGATCAATTCATAAATCCACCAATCCAATTGAATTTGAATCAAATGAATTGGATTTAAATAAATTGGATTAGTTAAATATTTAAATGAATATATTGGATTGGAAATTGGCAAGCAAAAAATAATAATGTGCTTCACTACTTGGTAGACAGAGTTTTACAGTTGTTTGCGCCCTTACTCAATTCGAACTAATTAAACCAAATCACGAAAACAGGGCCGTGGAAGAAGAACATAATAGCTTAATGAAGTCCAATCTAAGTTTCCTCCTGCCGATTGGAGGGGACGATCACGATCTTACTCTGCCTGAGCAGCTTGCTTGCCTCTGAGTTTATCGACTCTGGAATTCCTATTTAGCGATTCCTTCTACCACTACGTCGATTGGAAGAGACCACCGTCCACCCATCATCATCATCTATTGTCCGACGAACTACTGGAGAATCCACCATCATCATATTATCATCTCCACCACTTCCCGACGAAGCATCATCATCATAAAGGTCATCATCCTATTACAAAAATCACAGAAAGGAGCCACTATCACAGCTGCAGCAGACCAACATAACAATTCGTATTGAGAGAAAGAGGATGCTTTATTGATTTTCTTACCTGTCTGATAATGTATTGACGAGATGATGTTCTACAAGGCTCAGCAGCAGCCCTTCTCAACTTCTCAACAGAGCTATAGTTCCCTTCCATACATTCCTCGTGCATAATCATCATTTTCTCTGCTACCTGTTTAATTTTCAGCAGAGCAGGACTAATACTGAACATGAATGGGGTAGATCGGAACCGGTATAGAACAACTAGTAATGGAAAATAAACCCCTTTGCCTTTGGTTTCGAAGACATTCTTTTAAAACAAAACAAAAAGAAAAACAAAAAGGCAATCAACAATCAGTACCATAGAAATTGCCCCATCAATTTCAAATCAGAAAGTGTTACCTCCTCAATTTCAACGCCATCATCATTCATGTCGATGTGGAGATGAGCATACATGGTTTCGTCGAGAATGTTCTCGAGGTCATCGATATAAAGCGGCTCATTGGCTGGATTGTTGCAAAAGAGTCAAAAATTAAGAGACAGGAGTGAGGAATTGCAATGGCAGAATAGCATATTCAACGATAATCCAGGCGAAATATAAAAAATTTACAGCAGAATAGGAAGTCCCATCATAATTAGGGTTTGAAGTTAGTTTTTCTTTTTACCTTTGCGCTGTTTGGTGAACCAGGAGTAAACATCCGAAGCGAGTTGATCGGCTAACTGGCGGGAGCCGCGACCGCCGGACTCGTTCTCGACGGCGAAAAGAAGAGCTGCCCATCGGGAGAGGATCAAATATATTCCTTCCTTCAATATCATGAGATGATTTGCAGCTGCGCCATTGGCGTTTCGAGGGTCTCCTCCTTCGTCGACCATTCTTACTTGCTTCCCCAAACCACAGAATCCCTGAAAGGTTCTAAGAGGTTGGGAACCCTAGCTGCAGGGAGCGGCCGAACCCAATCAGAGCTCGGATCGGAGAAAAAACGCAAATCTGTTTGGCTTAAAGGGGTTCGGTTAGCATGCCAAAATAGTGTGACAAAGGGATTTGCTTCTCAAGCTCACGAAAAAGTTTCTGACCGCTCGATCTCATATAGATCCAACGGCTTCTATCATGTGGAAGGTTCGATCCGATTTGAACCATTGACCGATAGATGAAGTAGGTTAATAATTAATGGTCTAATTGATTCACCTTAGACACGCGATAAAACCATGGTCCATGAAATCATATCGGGATCGTATCAGAAAAGTCAGCGATTGGGTATTTTATGGCAAAATAGTGATTGAACCGTAGTTCAACTGTTAATACCGTTAAATACTGCCTATCGATTTAGCCTCCAATACTGGTATTTTGTGGTTGAACCGACGGTACGGTACAGTACGGTACGGTTTAATGGACCATGGATAAAACTGGGTAAAATACACCCGCTATTTTTTTTTTTATTACAGGAGGCTAAAAAGCCGAAGAAACAGAAGAAAGACTAGGGGGAGGTAATAGGGGAGGAGGTAGATTGGGTGCACAATATGTTTCTAGCAAAGGTAACACACCTGAGGTCATCCTGGAGTAGGGGAAGAAGGTCATTTGGAGGTGTTTCCAATTCGTACATACCGTAGGGATAGACGAGACTGTGCTTCGAGAGCCAGTCCGCGACTCTATTCCCTTCTCGGTATGTATGAACTAGATTCACAATCCAGTCTTGCGCCAACTTCCGCCTGATAGCTGATAAAAGGGCTGCACAAGGGTGAATCGGATCCGTTCTATTGTTCACAAGCTGGATGGCCACCTGGTAATCAGTTTCCACGATGAGAGTTCTGCAACCATGCTTCCACGCCAAATTGACTCCATGATACAGAGCCCACAGCTCCGACATAGCAGCTGAGCAAGTGCCAAGGCTCACGACAAAACCTCCTACCCAGCTGCTACTTGTATCTCTCAGAAGACCTCCTGCGACAGCAATTCCCTGATGGTTGTTCGAAGCCCCATCAACATTGACCTTCAGCCAACCTGGTGGAGGCGGCTTCCATCCGATCTACGACAGAGTACGCTGCGGAGCCAGCTTGTTCCGAACGAAACCACAACTCGGCCTTAATCCGAATCGACTGAATGAGGGAAGGTGCCGAGAAAGTCTTGCTCAAACCATGGAAAACACCTTCATTCCTATTTTTCCAGATGCACCAAAGAGCAATACTGAAAAACACATTCCAGGGAATATCGGAAGGAGAGGCTTCATCGCAAGTCACATTATTCTCCAGCCAATCGTCCCAATGTCGACTGAAGAAAGCCTGCTGCTTCTCAACACTAATCGTGCGACACCAGAGGAAAGCAGCAGCCGGACAATCTCTGAAAATATGGAGGAGCGTCTCATCCTGTGAAGTGCATCTATAGCAGGATGCGTCCAGGGTCAGATGGCGCTTCACCCTTAGCTCATTTGAGCAAATTCTCCCCTGCGCAATCAACCACATAAAGAAGCGTACCCTTTCAGGTACGGCCAGCCTCCACAACGTCCTCTACATGCGTTGATTCCCACCTTCTACAGGGGGATGCATCATCTGATAAGCGCTCTTTGTCGAAAACCTCCCGTCCGAAGTTGGTCTCCAAAACAAGGTGCCTTCCTCTGTTGCTAAAATGTCGACAGCCTGTGCCGTGATCTGACGTTGGATTTCCATGGGCAGGATAGCATTGAATTTCTCCGTCTTCCAGTTCCCATCTTCATCAACATAATCGGCCACCATCAGGTTCCGGTCCTCCTCTGGAATTTGGTCCAATGCCCGCTCCTGGAGAGGTACCTGCGTCAACCAAATATCCGACCAGAATTTAGTTCGGTTACCCCTATGGATATTCTAGGCGCAACCCTGCTTAAGAAGATCAGCTGCCTTAGTAAGGCTAGCCCAGGTAAAGGAACTTCCTTGAACCGGCCTCAGAATGTCGGTGTTGTTGAGATCTTTCCCATACTTTGCCCGAACAAGTTGAACCCAAAGGGACTCCTTCTCCTTAATAGTGCGCCATCTGCCCTTAGCCAGCATAGCTAGATTCACATCGCTAGTCGCTCGGATACCCAACCCTCCATTCTTCTTAGGAAGAAGATTCTGCTGCCAGCCCACTAGATGGAGCTTCTTCTTGTCTTCTGTGTCTCCCCAAATGAAACTTCTATCCATCCGATCAAGCGACCTGCAAACATTCATCGAAAGGAGTTCTGTTTGCATAGGATAAATGGGAATAGAAGCACAGATAGACTTCACTATAGTAGTCCTGGCCGCGAGGGAGAGATGTTTAGTGTTCCAAGGAGCTAGCTTCCTATAAATCCGAAGCATAAGGTCCTGATATCTGATCTTGGTCACCCTTCCGTGAATGACCATCACCCCCAGGTATCGCCTAAGGTCAACCGTAAGGGGAATACCAACTCTGGAAGAAAGCCTCCTAGCAACTCTTCTGTCAATGTTGGAAGAGACAAACATAGCTGACTTCCCATAGTTGACCCGCTGTCCGGAGCTTTGGCAGAAATCATCTAGGCATTGCTTGATTATCCGTACCTGAGCCCCATCTGCCTCTGCAAAAAGAATAAGATCATATGCAAAAAAACAGGTGAGAAACCGCGGGCCCCTCTTTGGAAAGCCTGAGAGGCTTCCACAGTTTATCATTGATAACCTGGTCGATCGTATGAGAGAGACGCTCCATACACAAAACAAAGAGATAGGGGGAAAGGGGGTCTCCCTGACGGACTCCTCTGGTGGGAGTGATCGGCTCTGAAAGCTCTCCATTCCATAGCAGCCGCATCTTGTTGTTCTCGACACAGAACATGATGCAGTTGATCCACGAGCTAGGAAGCCCAACTTCCGTGAGAGTATCCCCCAGAAAGTCCCACCGAAGCCGATCATAAGCTTTCTCAAAGTCGATTTTAAGCACCATGCCTCCTCTCTTGCCTTTCTTCTTCCTACGGGAGTGGAGAACTTCCAACAAAACAATAATGTTGTCAGTCGTCTGCCTCCCTGGGATGAAGCTGCTTTGGCGGGGGGACACCATCTTTCTCATCATGGGTTTGAGCCGGTTCGTGATGGCCTTGGTGATCGCCTTAAGACACACATTGTTGAGGGAGATCGGACGCAGCTGGGAGACCATCTCCGGGTGTTCCACTTTTGGGATAAGGACCACCGTCAACTTTACCACTTTCTCCGGCAGAATACCAGTGGAGAAGAAGCTCATAGCCATGAGTTTTGAAAGAAAATGGCTTGAAAGCCATGTGGTCCTGGACCTGAAAAGGTTTCATATCGTGCACCGCTCTGTGGATGTCTTTTCCCGTGAAAGGCCGGAGGAGACGTAACAGATTTCCATGGGTGAGCCTTGGAAAAGCTTGCTTAGGCATCTCATCTATGTACTCCTGACTATCCTGCAGATACAAAAAAGAGCAAAAGTCGAAAACCAAAGCCGCCAACATATGGGGGTCCGAAACCCACTCCCCATTGCTGTCTTTTAGGCTCTCGATCTTATTTCTCCGCCGCCGAATGTTGGCTTGTTGATGGAAGTACGTCGTATTACGCTCGCCAAACTGGACCCATTTTTCTCTAGCCCGTTGATACCAAAGAATTTCTTCTTGCTCTAAGACCTTGTCAAGCTCTTTCTCTAGTTTTGTCTGCAACTTGAAAAGTCCCGGAGAAAAGTTGTGGGCCACCTTAGCTTGGATGCCCTGGATGCGTCTCAACAATCTCATCTTCCTTTGGAAAACATTCCCAAAAGTGGACCGGTTCCATTGGGAGAGTTTGTTCGCCGCCTCCTGTAACGCTTCCTGAAGTGGAGCCTGTGAGTTCCAACAATCAGACAAGAAAGAGTCATAAGTATCATGAGTAAGCCAAGCTCTTTCAAAACGAAAGGGACGAGTAGGAAAGATTGAACTCCCTGATTTTCGATCGCAGTCAGGATTGGGTGGTGGTTTGAGTGGAGCCGCGAAAGATGGATAACAGAAGTATTAGGGAAAGCCATGTTCCAGGCTGCATTACAGAGGCTCCGATCAATCCGACTGGCTTTATAGGAGTTAGAGTTTTCACCCCTGGTCCAAGTAAATCGGGGACTCGAAAACCCCAAATCCATAAGCTCCGCCTGATTAATCCTATCATTGAAGCGTTTGCAGCGGCGAAAAATGACAAAAGTGACATGTCCTGCTTGTTCAGATGGCATCCTGATCGCATTGAAATCACCGGTAATTAGCCAAGGAAGATCAAGCTCTTCGGTGGTCCGAAAGATGGAATGCCACAAGAAACGCTGCAAACTCTATCTCAGGCTAGCACAGACGGCCGTGACACACCATGGGGGAACTGATGCCATCAAAATCTTCACTGTGAGGTGTTGAAAACAAGCTAACATGACTTCCACGATGAAAGCTAGAGCGTTCCAGCATAGCCAGATTCTGCCTTTCCTTCCCTCCGCCTCCACCCGCATAATGTTTGGGAGTCCTAATCTTCCACATACTCTATCCGCCACCGCTCCACTGATTTGCGGTTCCAGGAGAATCAATAAGTCAGGTTTCTGATCCTACACAATAAGCTTGAGGGCTCTGATGAAGGCGGTGTTACCAGCACCTCCCACGTTCCAAGATAGAATTTTAAAATTCATATTGATAGAAAACGACATAACAGAGAAATCAAAGGAGAAGAGAAAGGGTATGAAGATGCAAAGGATGGGGCGCAACATCAGGTTGAATCTGGGAGATTCGCCGATGAGCTTGTCCCGTTTGTCTTGCCCGCCTCCGTCAACACCGGCGAGGCTTCCAATTTCGAGCTCGCTTCAGCCGCTCCCGTCCAAGCTGCTATCTCCTGCAGGGTGAGAGATGCCATTCTTGTTCGGGATTTGCTTTTCTTATCCTTCACCGGAGACCAGATTTGTAGAGCTTTGACCGCAACTGTCATCGGCGGCTTCCTTGGAGATTTGGATTTCTTCCTGTTTTGTTTTTTCTTATTTTTGGTCCTCGAGGCCGCCGACGGGTTCTCACTCATTTCCTCCCGATCGCGTTTTGAAACATATTGCTAGACATCCACAATTTGGATTGAGGTGTTGTTCGGCCCCGTTAACACTTGAGTGCTCGGCGACCTAGAT